TTGTCGGACTTGAGAGCTGCCTAGCTTTTGGTAGGTGTCTCGTCGAAGAAATTGAAACGAAAGAAAAAGAAGAGTTAAAAGTTCAGCAAGAAAGGAAAAAAGAAACCCTTTTATTTAGCATGCCACAGTGAATGCAAGCACATGCATTGACCATCCCTCAAGAATACATAATAAAGCCTTCATTAATTCATTTCAAAAACTGAATCATAATGGCCACTACCATCACATGCACAACATTATTCATTGCATATACAATCACCATCCACTCATTATTGTGTAAGGTTGGTCCTTGCTTACTTGCTCCATATTATGTTTATTGCCAAAGCTACCATTTTGTTTGCATTAACCCATTTATCTTGAAGACAACCCTAAAAGCTTTCATACACATATTTGGACCTTACCAATATTTCAACTACAATCTCTGGTTATATTTGATGTACTTATTCGTATACATACTGTATATTAGTTATGTAATGTGTCTAGAAAATTCAATAAGCTAATTTATTATTATTTTTAAATTTTTCATTGAGTGTTATTTCCTCCTCATCTTTAAACCCAAAGTGACAAAGAGGTCCCCTGCATGTGCATAACTCACTCCCTCTCCAAATTTGCCTCCTTTCCCATTTTTATTATCATGCACGATATTTCACAAATCAAAAACTAGTATTGTGATTTTTGAGAACAAACCCAGTTAAAGACCTTTGTTATGGTTGAATTTAATTTTCCTCAACACTGACATTTCAAAATCTAGAAAGATGTCATAAAGAGGTTATTATCATGATTTTGTGAAAGTCTTCTCTAAACAAACTTCAAACTATTGGACGCCAAAGATCAAGTGGCTGAGGTATTTAAGAAAAAAAAGGCATTTCTTCTTGCACCCCTTTTCTTCCTGTATCCCTACAAATTATCATATTCTCATTTTATCCTTCATTACAAAAATATTAAAACCCCTAAAATAGGTTAGTTAATAATATGTTTTTCAATACCTCGTTCTCATTATAACTTTCATAAGTTACATTATTAAAATTACATTTTAAATAAAAAAATTAAAAGGACAAGCCATTTTATTTAGAGTATTTAAAATAATTCACAGTAAAATATGGTAATTAAATATAATATTCAGGAAGAAAATTGAACTCCAGATATTCTTGAAAGAATTTTAATTACTTAAAATGAATTTAAAATCTTACAAACAATAAATACTTTTATGTTCTCTCTTCTTTCTCAAATATAAAATAAGTTTGAAACAACAATATAAGACAGAATATTTAAATATTTGCATTTAAGTATGAAATAATCGAGTTTAATTTTAATCAATTATTGATATACATTGTCAATGAACTGAAAATCATCATAAATATTGTTTCCATACATATTTTCAGGACCAAGAGACTAACCTTCTGATGTGTCTTTCCAAACGCCTGGATCGCCTATCTGTCTGGACTGCTCGGTCATCTTCAATCTCCTGCTGCTGACCGTTCGATATTAGTGCGAACCGATCGGTCTCCTTCTTGACGGGGAGGATGTACCTGCAAAAAGCATTCTGACACTCAAGTTAGGCGTATTATTGAGGAGCTTTAGCTCTTTAATGAAATACTCAGTGAATGGTTGACATTATTTGAGTATTTGAGAGTATTGGAAAATAAATCAAGTGTAAGTAGAACATAAGTGTAACGTACATGGTTTTTGGCCATGTCAATGTATTTATAATTGTTTCAAATATCAAATAAAAACGACCTTACCTGGAGATTTGGTTACCCAAAAACGGCTTTATCAATATCTTCAACCAAATATTTTGGATTTAGTGTATTAAGTATATTTAACCACATATCTTTAATTATTTCAGGGTGTTGCTCCCTCCACCACCCCAAGTGCTCCTGCACCTCCTCACTATTTTCTTTTATTCCAAAAATACTTTACACTTTCCCACTATTTTCTTTTATTCCAAAAATACCCTACACCTCCCCATTATATTCAACAATATTTTTCTTTCTCTCTCCACATTAATGGAGCATTCACATGGCTCAGATTTAAACTTGTGATATATTGCAAAATTTTATTTACACTTTCCCTTAAATAAGTTTGATTCAATCTTATTTTCACTATTCAATATATTTTTTCTTCAAATTACTTAATAAATGATAAAATTTTGTTCTAAGTTTCTAGAAAAATGTTTATATATATATATATGTGTGTTTTTTTTTACATTTAATATCTATAATTTTTAACATTATATTATGTTTTAACTTACGGACATGTTTGACTCAAATAACTTGAATAAAGTATTTAATTTATTAGATAAATAATATAAAAATATTATTAAATACTTAAAATATAAAAGAAAAGTTATTTGTTAAAGATTTGGAATTTATTTAGTTCTTTCGTCATTATAAAGTTAGTATATAATAATAATAATAATAGTAATAATAATATATTATTTACTATTAATATTATTATGTTTATTATTTTGTATTTGTATCTAACTTTTAAGTTTATAAAATGGAAGTGGTAGAAGCACTAATATTGAAGTTTCCTCTTAATTTTATATTTTTCAATATGCTCCATTAATGCAGAGAGAAAGAGAAAGATTGTTCAGGATAGTGAGGAGGTGTAGGGTATTTTTGGAATAAAAGAAAATAGTGAGAAGGTGTAGAATATTTTTGGAATAAAAGAAAATAGTGGGGAGATGCAGAAGCACTTATGGTGGTGGAGGGAGCAACGTCCATTATTTTATCATCCACTGGACTACTGGTCCAATAACATTTTAAGCGCTGACCCAATTACCATTTGAAGTAGCTTATTAACACTGTAGACCCAATTACGACTTAAACCATTTGACGAGATTGACCAATAGCGGATAAATCGATCGACCTTTATTCAATGACCGCTCAGTCAATATTTTATACTATACTACTATAATTTTAAAAACTTTTTTTTCAGAAATCTAAAGTTCTATCATATACGGTAGAATAAAGCCTTTGAATTCTGAAAGCATTTTATACACGTTATTCTTCGGAGTTTGAGATACGTAATGAATATAGGCATTACTTTATGGTATTTTTTAACAAGTGGATCATTTAAACTATATAAGGAATAGTATATTATAATTTATCCTATTTTCCTTTTATTTTTTTAAATTAAATTTTAATAATTTAAAAATATCAATAACAAAAAAAACATAGTTTGAGTTATTACGCATCATAAATCAGAATATATAATTTTGAAATTAAATTCTCACTCCATTTTTTTTGTGTTAAAATTTTTCACAATTATTCTTTTTTATTGGGATATGAACTTTTAAAATTATATTAAGCGGTGAAAAGTGTACTTTTTGTTGAAAAAAAATAAGTTTAAGTTCTACGTTAAATAAAAATAAAGAAATGGAGTATTATATAAAAATGAAAAATTTATTAATTTATTGTTTTAAAGTTTTTAATAAAAAATGGTATTAATTTCATGTATGGTTGTACTCATTAACCTAACACTTTTTGCACTCTAAAATGGTCCTATTCTGAAGTGACTTTGAACTCTTTAGCTCTTGTCCTAGCTTGTAAGACTTGGGTTATCATTTTTTTTGGTATTCTTGTTTGCTCATCAATGACGTAACCAACCAAATATCACGTCCTTAGTATCAAACCCAATCAACCAAAAGATTTTCTCTGTTACTGATTTTGAAAGTGCAACAAAGTCATTAATTTCCAGGTAAAAACGATCAAATATTAGTCATTAGTTTATGAAATCAACTCGTTTTGTCGTATTTTCTTTTACTTTAATTTTTTAATCAAATATAAGGATTAGTATTTCCGTAGAGATTTCCTTCTATGGCGCCACTTTCTACACGCAACATGGAGCTTTGACTCCTATAAAAACAAAAATTGTCTCTGAATATTGATCTATTGTAATTACTCCTACTTACTAATATAAGTATTTATCGTCAAGTATTTATAATTAGTCATAAATTTGTTTTTATAACATTTTAAGTTGAAATTAGTTTCAATTTTTTATATGCATCAATCTAAAAGTATTGTGTTTCTTCAAATAATTCTCTAAAAACATCCATTACATTTTTTAACACATCAGGTTTTGTCATTTATCTCCGTCTAGTTCCTATCTTTATTCTAATTTAAATATTAAAAAATTTATTTTATTTTGAAAAGACAAAAATCTAAAAGTTATATAATATTATAAATGCCTTAGCCTAATATCATAATTTTATCATTTAATAAGAAATTGCATCACATCACCCAAGAGTCTTCTCAAACCATCTAACCTCCACAATTTTTTTAATAAAAGCATCACATTCACATCCAACCACAGTGTTGATGCATTGACAGATACAATTTAATGATGTAAGTCGTTATATGCTTTTATTATAATTCTTAAATATTGCACCAATATAAGTGATGCGTCGCAATTTAATTTTTATTTTTAAATTCCTTTCATTCTTGGAGGAAAAGTAATGTATTTTCATGGACTAGATTTCTCCGTACTAAAAAATTGCAGAAAACAGTTTGGTCTTTGTCTTATTATGGGCTGCATAGCATGTGCAGACATGGGAGTTTAATAACATCCTTAAGAAGCGGGAAAAACGGATAACCAATGAACAACATTTGCATTAGAGAGGATCTTAATGTTATGCTTAGTAAATTTTTCCATTAAAACCTATTAAAAAAGTGAAATATTTTTTTCTTAAATTAAAACCAACTTTGTCATATGTTTAAAACTTTTACTTTACTTAAAAAATATACGAAAACATATTCCAAGTTTCTCACTGAATACTGACATAGATTGGAAGCATTTGAGAGAGTGAAAAAAATGAAGAATGGATGAATAAAAAAAATGCTGATTATTTGAAGAAGCATATGCCATGAACGATTCCCTTCGTATTCCTCTCAGATTCCTCGAAGATTCCTCAGCCACCAACGCACCTCAGTACCTTCTTCACATTCAATCCATTTTTATCATTCAGATAAAACCTGGACCAAATAAATAACGTTGCATTTTCAAGCTTTCAAACTCACCATTAATTACTTTAAAATTCAATAATCCAATCAGCTGAACAAATACTAATATGATTAGAACTTGCATAACATAACAATGAGAATTGATTTGTTATTCATTCCCTGACTGAGAAAAAAAATTCGATAATAGCACAATTTATGAGCTGAATTGAACTTCCCGTTCCTAAAATCCCAATCTTTACATACACAACTAACAAACTCAACTCAACCATAACTAAGTAACTACAATGAAATTGTTGGGTGAGTTCAGAATATACAGTAGCAGCTTTAGATATTGGAAAGAAGAACTTCCCTACTTCCTTCGCCGTCTTGTTTGCAGAAAATAATCTATGGCGAAGAACCCCACAAAACTTCAGCAGCAATGGTGGCAGCTTCGGCATCAGAAAGAGAAGCTTCTCTGACTCTCACCAAAATCTCCGGTTTAACTGCCCTCTTCTCTCTCTGCCGCAGCCCTTCCCCAACCTCCAACTGCACCGCAAACTTTGCTACGCAGCTCGCAAAAGGGCGTCTTTCCAAAACCCCACAAACTCTTTCTTTCCCAATCTCAATCAAATCGCCACCGTTCTCCGACCTCTGCAACTCTACCAGCTTCTCCACCAACCCCTCCTTCACCATAGCCTCCACCGCTTCCTTGCGTCCGAAGTACCCAATCTCCAACACACACTCCAACGCCAGCACCTGCAGCTGCAAATCGCGGGAATTCAACAGCGCTATCACCCTCGGAATCTCGCCGTTCGATTCGATCTCGTCCACCAGAGGAGACCTGATAGACCTGATCAGCGAGCACAACACCTCTACCGAGTGAACAGAGCCCATCGACACCAAAGCCCGCACGGTTGGGCCCATCATAACCTGACCCACGAACACGTCTTTATTGAACCGGATCAGCGCCGCGACGGCAAGACCGGCCTGCTCGCGAACCCGGTCCGCACACTTTTCATCCAGGAGAACTGTTTCCAACGAGTGGAATAGCTTGAGTTTGAGAACCAAGTCCTGCAACTCGCGATTAAATCCCTGGGAGATTCGGTCCCGAAACTGAGTCAACAGCGCGACCAACTCGCTAATACCATCACCGGGGTTCCGTAGCGAAGTGGAGAGGGTGAGGAGCGTTTCGCGGTCGATCCACGCTTGGATTTCGGACTCGATGGAGACGGCGAGCCGAGAGAGGGAGTGCGTGGAGAGGGGGCGAGTGAGGAACGATCGGAGGCCCTTGGAGTTGTTGAGAGAGTGGACGAGGGTTTTGAGGCGATTAAGGTACTCCGAAAGCGCGTAGAGTTTGGGGTCTGACGATGAGAGAATGGTTTGAAACTCGAGAAGCGCCTTCACCGCCGGAGAATCGGAGGTGTGGTGTCCTTGGATTTGGCGCGTGGCTTGTTTGAGAGCTTCCAGCACTTGCAGGATTTGTGGCGCTTTCTCTCTCTCTTCCATCGATCTCTGATACCAATTTCTCACTCATCCCAATCAGTTTTCTTCCACCCATTTTATACTGCACTATCAAAGTGAAGATGCAAAGTTTCTGCTCTTCCTTTTCTTCTTCTCAACTACTCTAACCAATCACCTTTCTCCCCCACACTTTTTTTTTTCGATCAAACAATTCTTAAATCATTTCTAATGCATCAAATTTTCTAAATAATTCCAGGTATTTTATTTTACGTCATTTTTCTTACATAATGTATTCAGTAATTATTAGTTCATATTTAATAATACTTTTTATAGCAGAGCAAAATATTAAATTTTCATACCATAATATTATTTATAATTCCAGTGTTTTAAAAAAATTATACTAGTCAACCTGCAAATTTATAGACGCGTTTATTTTACTCCTTTACCAATTCCACTTAACTAAATGAAGGCATTTGGCCGCATCTTACTTTTATTGTCATTTAGATATTTTTTTTAAATAAAACAATATGTTTTTAAAATGTCAAGTTTATTGTCTCAAAAAAAAATTACGATAATGAGCTATTTTAATTATTTCACAACACTATAACCATAAATAGTATTAGTAATAATAGAAACTTAATGTTTTACTCTTTTATCCAAAATAGGATATTATTTAACTCAATGTTTAATTTACATCTTAATTAGTTTATTTAAGTAGTTAGTTTAACATGTAATAATAATATTACATTACTTAACATTATATAATCGTCCTCTCTAGCTCTGAATTATCTCTTTGATATTAATTCTAATTTTCATTTATTTTCCAATACATATCTTTCAAACTATGAGACAGAATAAGTTTATCTTATTTTGTAATACGGTAAGAATATATTTGTATGCATTGTAGATTCTTAAAATTATAAAAGAATAAACGTAAATGCATATCTATGAATACGTGTATTAAAGGTATTTTGTATTATTTGTTCTAGCATAAATGATTATGAATATTAACTTAAGTGACATGAGTCAAATTCAATGTATCACGAGAAGTTGCACGTACTTTGGTTACAAAAACAGAAGCAAACATGCATGTCTAAGTTGACTTGTTGTTGTAGTATATATCATATGTGCGGTGATATTGCATGAAAAACGTGGTTGTTATGGAAGATTTCTGTCTAGTATTTATTTTTTGATTGTTTTATGAACTCGGTTGTATGGTTGAGATATCAATAGAGAGAGATGAACGTAAAACTATACTCTGCAACATAATGGTGTAAAATTATTTTTTAACTACTTTGGAATGCGGTGTCAGTCCCAACTTATTATTGAAAAAACCCTATTTTAAGAAGTATAGAAAGTCAGAAAAAAGCTCCAACCTGCAAACCCCCTCTCAAGTGGGTTTGGTTCAGGGTTAAAATGAGTTTAGTCTCACTGCAAAATTTTAATTAAATTTTAGAAACAATATAATTTATATATATATATATATATAATTTATTATAATTTTGTTATCTCTCATATATTATATATGTTAAATATTTATGAATCAAATTGGTCAAATAACCGCATTAGAAGCATTAAAAATATAAAAAGTGAGATTTTATTAAATTAAACTTGCTGAAATAAAAAATTAATATTGAAAATTTACATTTTAATCTTATAAACAGTCAGTCAAGTTTAGAAATATGTTAATTAGTTATAAAAAATTCATTTAATATCTATCAGTTTTTCATTAATAATTTTCAATTTATTCTTACAATTTTACTTATTTTTAAACTACTCATACAACATGTTCTATTGGTGGTATGTTCTTTGATTATTGTGAATACTTTTATATATATATATATATATATATACCTATAAAATAGAGAAATAAAAATAATTGTTTTTCATAAATTAAAATTAGCTTAAACGTTATTATTTTATTAAATATATATTTTAATTAAAATAATTATCTTATTAATTTCATTCTGTTGATAATATTTTGTAAATTAAATGTTATTATTTATTTAATTATTTCTAAAACTTACTATCTTGATAACCTAAAATAATTATTTATAACAAAAAAATATTTATAAAATTAGTAAAAATTATTTATATTCATTGCAATACGAGTTTCATGGATGATAGATATAATTATTTTCTATGAATACATTTTTTTTATAGTAAATGATAAGTTGTAATTCAAATAAAGATTTCTAATATGAATTTGATGATTTCTAGTCTTAATTTGGCTTGTACAAATGTTTTTCTTTATTTGCTTTGCTAATGATATAAGATAATTCTTATGACAATTTTTTTTTGCAAAGTATAAAATAAATTGAAAGAATTTAATTAGTAGTCACTTAAATTATTGAAGTTTTCTATTCCTTTTACCTTCCAACATGAGTTTTCTTTCGATTTCTATTCTTTTACGTTATCTTTTTATTGTTTGTATTTTGGGCCAAATTAATTATTTGTTTAATTTTTGGCAGAAGAAATCTGAATTATTATAGGTGTGAAGCACGTGGAAAAATGGAATTGTTGTGGAAGATTATAAATTCTAAAAAATACGAAATATTATATCATAATTTAAATTCAATATATAGTTTATATATTTAAACAAGATTATTTATAGAATTTTAAGTACGAAAATTAAATATTTATTTTATATAATAAAAAATATAATTAGGTAATTTTGGTCTATTAAATATAATTGGATCATTTTTAGAAATTATAACGCTTAGATTTGCAACAAATTAGAATTAATTACACTTTTTCTTGTATTTAAAATAAAAAAAATTTCTAAAAAAAAACATGGGTTGACCCTAACCTACAGGGCTTTTATAGATATTTTGATTTTATGGACTTTTTGGTCCTGTGAGTTTTTCTGACCTCAACCCACGTGAATCAGGGTCAAACCATATTAGAGGAACCAAATTTACGAGTCTATCCATAGTAAAAGTTATATGTATTGAAATTTATTTTATATATTTTTTTGGGTTAAATATGTTTTTAGTCCCTAAACTATTGGTCGTTTTTGTTGTTCGTCCCTCTTTCAAAGTAAGGTACAATTTGGTCCTCATTCTTTTCGAAAACGTTTGTTTTAGTCCTAAAAAACTAACACCATTTAAAAATTTGGTCCTCATTTAGCAACAAAATGAGGACTAAAACCAAAGTTCCAAGGATTAAAATGAACGTTTCGAAAAGAATGAGGACCAAATTGTACCTTACTTTAAAAGAGGGACGAAAACCAGAAACGGCCAATAGTTTAGGGACTAAAAAAATATTAACCTTATTTTTTTCGAAAAGTAAAATTTAAAACTTTCCCAAAACTTAATTGTATGTCGATATAGTATAATTACTTGAATTTTGTCACCCATATTCCAGAAAGAAAAATGTAATGTGTCGCGGGAAAACTAAAAAAAAAAGGTCTTCTTATAATGTTTTAATATTTACATATTCCAAAAGAACACTTCAGAGTATATCTAAAATAAATTTGAAAATTATTTTATAATAATAAATTCTGTCATGAGGTGTNTATATATATATATATATATAATTTATTATAATTTTGTTATCTCTCATATATTATATATGTTAAATATTTATGAATCAAATTGGTCAAATAACCGCATTAGAAGCATTAAAAATATAAAAAGTGAGATTTTATTAAATTAAACTTGCTGAAATAAAAAATTAATATTGAAAATTTACATTTTAATCTTATAAACAGTCAGTCAAGTTTAGAAATATGTTAATTAGTTATAAAAAATTCATTTAATATCTATCAGTTTTTCATTAATAATTTTCAATTTATTCTTACAATTTTACTTATTTTTAAACTACTCATACAACATGTTCTATTGGTGGTATGTTCTTTGATTATTGTGAATACTTTTATATATATATATATATATATATACCTATAAAATAGAGAAATAAAAATAATTGTTTTTCATAAATTAAAATTAGCTTAAACGTTATTATTTTATTAAATATATATTTTAATTAAAATAATTATCTTATTAATTTCATTCTGTTGATAATATTTTGTAAATTAAATGTTATTATTTATTTAATTATTTCTAAAACTTACTATCTTGATAACCTAAAATAATTATTTATAACAAAAAAATATTTATAAAATTAGTAAAAATTATTTATATTCATTGCAATACGAGTTTCATGGATGATAGATATAATTATTTTCTATGAATACATTTTTTTTATAGTAAATGATAAGTTGTAATTCAAATAAAGATTTCTAATATGAATTTGATGATTTCTAGTCTTAATTTGGCTTGTACAAATGTTTTTCTTTATTTGCTTTGCTAATGATATAAGATAATTCTTATGACAATTTTTTTTTGCAAAGTATAAAATAAATTGAAAGAATTTAATTAGTAGTCACTTAAATTATTGAAGTTTTCTATTCCTTTTACCTTCCAACATGAGTTTTCTTTCGATTTCTATTCTTTTACGTTATCTTTTTATTGTTTGTATTTTGGGCCAAATTAATTATTTGTTTAATTTTTGGCAGAAGAAATCTGAATTATTATAGGTGTGAAGCACGTGGAAAAATGGAATTGTTGTGGAAGATTATAAATTCTAAAAAATACGAAATATTATATCATAATTTAAATTCAATATATAGTTTATATATTTAAACAAGATTATTTATAGAATTTTAAGTACGAAAATTAAATATTTATTTTATATAATAAAAAATATAATTAGGTAATTTTGGTCTATTAAATATAATTGGATCATTTTTAGAAATTATAACGCTTAGATTTGCAACAAATTAGAATTAATTACACTTTTTCTTGTATTTAAAATAAAAAAAATTTCTAAAAAAAAACATGGGTTGACCCTAACCTACAGGGCTTTTATAGATATTTTGATTTTATGGACTTTTTGGTCCTGTGAGTTTTTCTGACCTCAACCCACGTGAATCAGGGTCAAACCATATTAGAGGAACCAAATTTACGAGTCTATCCATAGTAAAAGTTATATGTATTGAAATTTATTTTATATATTTTTTTGGGTTAAATATGTTTTTAGTCCCTAAACTATTGGTCGTTTTTGTTGTTCGTCCCTCTTTCAAAGTAAGGTACAATTTGGTC